GCTGCGAAGGAAACAGAACCCGAGGTTGCTGCTGCAGAGACACCAGAAGAGGTAAACTAGTGCAACAGCAACAGCAGCAGCAGCAGCAGCAGCAGCAGCACGAACAGGGCCGGAGCGCAGCAAGAAAGCTCTAGCTGCTGCTGGGTGTAGACAGGGGGAGAGGAGGGGAGGCAGAGTGTATATTGTTTGGTTGTGTTTGTTTGTGTTTGTTGTTGCGGTGTATGTACAGCGTGCAGGAGAAGAAGGGGGAGAGGAGCAGAGCCCAGCAGCTCCTGAGGAGGAGGCAATGGACTTAGATACATATAAAAGACTACAGGAAGAGAAGAGAGCAAATTTACCTTTATTTGTTTCTTCTGGTGCAACACCAAAGAAAATAAATACAGATAAAGAACTAGAAGCACAAGGATATGTACGTGTGGTGAGAGAGGAGGAAGAAGGTAGCCGCAGCAACGAAGAAGGCCACGAAAACAGAGAAGATAAACCAAAGAAAAAATCTGTTAATCTTTATGAATATGTACATATAGAAGGGGGCCGTATTCCTTCATTCGGCAGAAGAGGAGGAGGGGGCAGAGGGGGACAGAGAGATGATAGAGTAAAGAGAGGGGTAGCAGCAGCAGCACGAAACCCTAGACATAACAGAGAAGCAGCAGCAGCACCAGATCTAGGAGATACCCAGGCATTCCCTACCCTAGGAACANTAGACATAACAGAGAAGCAGCAGCAGCACCAGATCTAGGAGATACCCAGGCATTCCCTACCCTAGGAACAAGATAAAAAATTATACACCCTCTCCTCCTTCTGCAGCTCCTGCTGCAGTTGCTGCTGCTGCTGCTGCTGCTGCTGCAGTTGCTGCATGCAGTGCAGCTTGGTAGTGGAGAAGTATTCACGGAGAAGCGGTGATATAGACAGAAATGCAGCAGAGGAGAAAGCGGGTGGGATGGGGTCAAACAAAAAAAAATAATAGGCTGCGAGATGCAGCAAATTTAAATAAACAACTGGCGTAGAAGAGGCGGGAGGGCGCGGGGGGGTGTTTCTTTCTCCATGCTGCTGCTGCTGCTGCTGCTGCTGCTGCTGCTGCTGTGGTCTTGTCGCTGCTGCTGCAGCAGTGCGGGGGAGCGAGCGCTGCAGGCGCCCAGGGTTCATTCAGATTGATGAGGAGATAAACTGTATGCATGCATGCATGCATGCATGCATGTGAAGATAAACTGATGTATGCATGCAGCAGCTGATGCATGCATGCAGTCATGACTAGATGAGATAATGCATGCGTCGAGATGATCATGAGGTGGTACATGCATGCATTTATAAATAGATAAGGGGATGCATGCATGCACTGATGCATGCATGCAGCAGGCGCGGGTTGATAGATGAATGCATGCATCCATGAGCTTACGCATGCATGCATGCATGCATGCATGCAGCCATGCGTTAATGTATGCATTCGCGAGTTGTTCTATGCATGCATGCGTGCTGGTATGCATGCATGCATGCATGCATGCATGAGTTGTTGCATGCAGGGGTTAAGCAGCCGGGGGAGGGGTTATATTATAGTAGCCTATGAGTGTGAGCTGAGGGAGAATGCTTCTCTGCTATTCTTTTTCTTCTCGCCTCCTGCTCCCTGCAGTGCTGCTGCGTTACATAAACAGTGTTGATGAATGAATGGAGGCAACGAAACAACAAGGCAGCAGCAGCAGCAGGCGCTGCAGTTGCAGCGCCATATACAAA